TTCCATATCCAGTTTGATAACTACTCCCAGTTCCCTACTTTAATGAATACATTCTTGAGCCACTAACACACTGTCAGTAATCAATCGATTTTGGATAAAGGATTGTAGTTCAAATATGAGATAATGTAACACCATCTTCAAACGATCTGCCAAAATCTTCGCCACAATCTTGTACAAACTTGATAACAAGCTTATAAGCCTAATATCCAAAAGATTAACTATCACTGCTTTTTTAGGGATTAGAGCAATATAAGTAGAATTAACGCCTTTAAAAAGTTCTCCAGCTATCAAAAAAACTTGAACCATTTGTAACAACTCCCCACATAGAAGAGACCAAAATCTCTAAAAGAAAAAGATAGGGAACCCATCCGGACTAGAGGCTGTCACCAGAGAGAGAGCATACTGTTGTTATCTTTAATTCCTCCAAAGACACCTCCCTTTCCAAGTCCGATGTCAACTAAGAAGATAGAGAGCCTTAAAGGGTACTCTCTCCATCCTAGGAGTAAAGCGAACTTCATAGGTGAAGGCTTTTTGAAAATGATCAATTATAGCTTTATCAATGCCTCTTGACCATGCTCATCAATCCCAGGGATTGAGATCCCTGAGATATCATTTTGTCTTATGAAAAAAATTTGGTATTGTGGTCACCCTCCTTCAGCCATTTCACTCTTGATCTCTGTCTCCAATAAATCTCCTCAATTATTTGATAATCCCACTAAGTTCACAATTTTCCAATCCTCTCCCTCAAATTATTAGCGGATAAGACACCAGAATTTTGAACATTATTATCAATGAGTTGGATATCTCAAAGAATCCCTTCCAAGTTTTCTTTGATCTGAAATATGTTCTCCTTCTTCCATTGTAGTAATCGCTGCTTTAACATTAAGCAGATTTTTGTGAAGCTGAAAGTTTGACCACCCATAATTAATTGAGTTCTCCCAAGTACTCCTAAATAAGAACCATAATTAATTGAGTTCTCCCAAGTACTCCTAAGTAAACTTGCCACCCTTTCCTCCAACCAGCCAATCTCCATTCTAAAAGGCTTTAGACCCCCCACCATATCACTCCTACTCAACAAAATAGGTGTATGGTCAGAGAACAACCTCGTTATAGCCTTGACGGATGCCAAAGAGAACGAGTTCATCCATACTGGTGAAATTAAGAACCTTGCGATCTTTGTCTGAATGAGGTGAGATACGCTATTATTGGACCAAGTGAATTTGGTACCGACTAATGGCTAATCAATCAAGCAGTTGCTTTCAATAAAGTGATTGAACAATCTCATAGAGGATTTAATGGAATCCCTTGATGACGATTCTTCTGGCCATCGAATCATATTAAAATCCCCCCCCCCCCACCCCCCAATACAAACAAGAATATTAATTCCAGACAGAATAGCAGATAATTCATTCACAAAAGATTCTTTCATAGCAACATTGTTTAGTCCATACACATTAACCAAACTCCACGAATAATGCTACATTGGACCATTAAAACACACAGCCAACACCCTATCACCTTGAATAATATCAAAACATTGAAGAATTAAAGGATCCCACAAAATCTATAGACCCCCTGATGTCGCCACAACATCTAAACTTGCAAAATTTACAGCACCTAAACCCCCAACTTCCCTGACCCCAAATAAAGGACCTGGAAGTTTGGTTTCCTATAGAATAACAATGTCTGGTCTATATTTCATTACCAAAATGTGAAAATCCCTCGTACGCTTAGGGTCCCCAAGACCCCTTACAATCCAGCATAGTATTTTCATTTAAAAGGTGTAGAAGAAGAACCTTGGCCCTCCTGAAACTGACCAGAGAACTGCCGCTCCATGATGAAGGCCAACTCCATTGGTGTCAGTTTTGAATCAGAAGAGGCTTCGTCACTTGGAATCTCCACCACCTCACCTTCATTGAATATCACTTTCGGGGTAGCGATACTCTTCAGAATTCTCGGTGCCTCCAATCTAGCAGAATGCCTAATATCCACCAATTGGAGCACTCCTCTGGACTTTCCTTTAGCAGTTTTCGCAAGAGTGATAGCAACATCTTCCGAAGGGGTCGACATGGGTACAGGAGCGTCACCCAAACTCAACCCTTTCACTACTTTTTCTACCTTCTTATCCTTGATATCTTGGAGAACCACCACAATAGGGACATTGTAGTCAAGTTCCATGACATCCAACATACTACCCATCTAGAAATCCTCCTGCTGAATCTTTTACTCCTTATCTATTGCAACCTCAGAACCCTATCCAATCTTCTTCGTCTCTCCGGTCACTACACCTTCCACAGAAAGCTCCGATCCCAAAGTTTGCCTCGCCTCTGGATAAGTAAGAAGCAACGGTTCAGTATAAACCTCGGGTACCATTTTCGAAGGAGGTTGAGACAACCCTACTTCTACCATCGCTAAATATGTAACCATAGGTGCAGTGTAGCTAAGACTGTCATTATGCAAATCTTCACCCTCTGACTCCACTTCAACAACAGCCAGAGGATCCACCACAATAAGATCAAAGTGAGGTCTCTCATTTGGCTCAGTTCTCTTATTAACTGCTCGACGGCAGGGAACAAACTTCATCCTTCCTAAAAGAAGAACGATGATCAACCAACACCAAGATGAAGAAGCCTTAAGAAAAGCCCTCCTTGTTTGCCAAACTGCCACCCCTGCTTTCCAAAACAAGAGCAGTGGTGCTACAAGGTTGAAACCGTCTCAAAGTGACATACCGAGAAAGGGACCGCCACAATGCCATCTCTTCCTCATAAAAATCCTAGCCGAATCCAAGTCAGTTTCCAAAGCAGGCACACAATCACCAAGTGTCCCTGCCGTTGTCAGTGGATCAATCCCCAGATTCGTGACATTTAATTTCCTCTGTGCTAGATCCTCAGATGAGGTGGATGCATTGTTAAAATCCAAGGACCCGCAGGAGCACATGTGAAAGCATGAGCCATCTTATTTGAATTTTCCCCAACCGTAGCCTCAAAATCAGGAAATCGTCCAACTGGAATCATTCTTTCCATATTTTTCGTTTTTGGATAGCTCGTTGGTTACGACACCTTCTCCTTCACCTGATATTACGATTTGGGCATTTCCAATTATCGTCAGAAAGTTTTGCCTCATCTTCTCTGACTTGAGCATCAGGTTCCTTCTGGTTCAACTGAACTACAAGCCTCTTATTTTCTACTACTACCAACTCACCATCATGATCCTTAGCCATAGGTGTATTTAAATAATATGTGCATTGCCCTCTATGTTCCCCTCCACCACCACATAAATCCAAAAATGGTCAGAGCCCACTTGCAATCTCACCTTCCTTAGGACTTGGGCACCAAGAAGCCCCCATATTTTTAAACGAACAAACCGTCTATTTGGATTTCAATCATCCTCTGATCCAGTTCCTGAATAGTGGCAAAGGACAAAATCAACTTTTGGAAAACTGACAATTTCCAAACATGTAAAGACACTCTCCACAGACGGATCCAACATGAAACTTTTTGAATGAGAGAACCATGTGCCGTAGGCTTCCAGTTCTCCACGGCCAACAGTCTACCACGAACTGTATAAAATTTTCATCTTAGTGCGTGCCTGGCATCCGCCCCTGAATTCAAAACAAAATCACCTTAGGAGGGTATGAAAGTCCCCAGCCTCTTCTAGCCCAGTCACTCAAACTGAAAATATCGTCAGAGGGCGGACTAAAAGAACCAACCACCACCGTTCTACTCACCTTGATGGCCTCAACAATCTCCTCCTCTAAAGATACACAGGGAAAGGTGTTCCAAACCTCCCCTTCCTCCATCTCATTCTCTCTCTACTCCTATTAGCTAGGGGCTCTATTACTTTTAGTTTTCTTATTCTAAAGAAGTTTACAATAACTACCCTGAGTGATATAAGACCCATCAACCTCCTTACTAGCCATGAAGTTGTTGGCGGAGAGGCTAAAGTTCGCAGAGATGCTATACAATTTGGACTTATCAAGGCACAATACACCCCGTGCAATCAATGTGGCAAAGTTGTGAGCACGATGCAGGGGATGCACAAGTTGCCCACAACAAATTGGTCGTGGAGGGTGATTCAATATTATTAATTAGTGTAAGCAATCTAATTCCACTCCTTCATGGACGAGATTATGTGTCACCTCTCGAGAGAGACTACATTCATATCATGTAAGGGCGAGGGTTTGGAGGGGCGGAAGCGAGGGTTGGAGGGGCAGGGGCAAGGGCAAGGGCAAGAGAGGGGGGGAGAATTGAGCCTAGCATGTGGCATTGCAAATTGTCAAGCATTAAACAATTAAGCCCATGCTCTTTTCCTAAAATGAATATAAAGTGTACATGCACATATCATCAAAGTTTTTTTTCTTTTGATCTTCATTAACCAGCAGCCATCGTAGTTGTTGTTTTTTGGGTGACTCAGTAGGGAGAGAGCCTCTACCCTGGGTAGGAATTGAGCTTAGAAAGTAGCATTGCAAATCGTCAAGCACTAACTTCTCTTTACACTTGTACCTTTTTCATATTCTCAATGAAAACATTACAAAAACAATGTAATAGGTTTGTACAAGTATTTTGGTTCGTATACGAATGTATGCATACATGTACATATTTATGTGCTTCTATGTAATTACATATGCACAGTTTCTAAAAAAATGTAATTACATATGCACAACAAAAAAAAAAATGCATATGCATGCACCTGCTACATAAAATGTGTGCAAGTGGACCGCTGGTGAAGACACATCATGCCATTTTATATACAAGGCACGCAAGGGAATTCACAAATTTGTCATTTTTATCACCAATATTTCCATGAAAGGCACATTGATTCATGCAACTCCAGGTAATAAATTGCCTATGACGTACTACGCATATCATGAAAATTTGCAAGCTCATTTTGAGACATCTGCAAATTCCATCTGCAATAATAACCTAATTTTTTTGGGATTCTTCAGTGTAATTCAGTAAATTCAGGTATGAGCACGAACAATAGACCCAGAAATCAACAAGTTGAAAACCTTAAAGAACTGCAGTGTTATATATCACAAGCAAGTCTAAAAATATTTTTTACAATGAAAGGATTCCTGTAAGTCAATCTTATGTGGTAACTTTCATGGAGGGAGGAAAAAAAAAGTTACCACTATCAAGACAAAAAGAAAAAATAACATGGGGGGAGGAAAAAAAAGAAAACAATCTTATGTGGTAACTTTCATTTGACCATGTGACTAGTTTTAATGTAATTCATGAGTCTCTTGAGAGCCTTACCACTATCAATGGCTTCTCTTGCCCTGTCCATTGCAGAAAGGACATCTTCTGCACCACGGCAACCTAACAAGTGGTCGACCATACCAGCGTTCAGCACTATGCGGTCATAGGCCGGGCCTCGCTCTCCCCGAAGCGCTGCCAAACCCAACTCAATAGTCTTCATCACCTACATATTAAGTAAATTTAGAATCAAGGTTCATTTAGCAGACTCTGGGATCCAGTCTTTGGTTGAGGTATAGTAGTTACAATTATATGGAAAAGCAAGAAGAAAAACCATATGTTTTAATATGAGCTGAATGTTACATAATAAGACCCAGACCATTAAAAACAAACCTACACCATGCACACAGGAAATCCTCCCCTTCTAGGACAAGACAAGTTTGTGACTTTATAGAAGGAAGAATCTGGTTCTCTTTTTTCTTTTTCTTTAAGGGGGGGGGGGGGGGGGGGAAGAGAGAGAGAGAGAGAGAATACTAACTAAATTAATACTAAATTATTACGAACTAAACTTATTACGTACCTACCTACCCAAGAAAGAGATACAAAAGTAAATTAATACACTACTTCCTTAGTAATTAAACTTACT